CCATGCAGAGGTGGTTAGGGGTGATCAGGCAAGCAGGTGAGTGGTTAGGGGCAATCAGGCAGGCAGGTGAGCAGTTAGGAGCCAACAGTCCCGGATTGTGAGAGAGATGTCCGACTGCCGGTTTAGGCCCGATCCCTGGGATCGGGCCTAAACTGGCATCCCCCGAGGGTTCCCAAATTGGAGAGGGTGCAGGATGGGCTGAGGGACCCCCCCCCCTTCCCGTGCACAAATTTTGTGCACCAGGCCTCTAGTTAACAGAATAAAAGAGTAAAACTATGTGATCATATCAATAGATGAAAAACAAACAGCATTTGATAAAAATCCAACCCCAAGATGAAACTATCAATCAAGTCTGAATGAAAGCTAACTTCCTCAAACTTATAAAGGCTATTTACTAGTATATATATTTTTAAAACCTGCATAGCTAATATACTTAAAAATGAATACTGAAACATTGATCCAACCATTTTAACCTTCTATGAACTCAGGGCCATTAAACATTTATTTATCAACTGTGATCTAATTAAAGGATGCACTTAAACACTTATTGAAGTAAGCTCTTTGCTTCTGTAAGAAATAGCTCCCAAATATTTACTGTGTGTTCTGTTGCTCTGCTTGTTTCCTGTTGAGTTATCTCATTTCTGGCAGTACAGTTTTTACATCTGATTGTACAGCCTAGGAAACCAGATCACCAAGTTTACTAGAAGTGTGTGTAAAAGAAAGGTAAAGTGAAATTTGGGTGAATACCTGAAGACATTTCTATAAGTAAAATGATAAGTTTTAGGGTATGAACTTTGTGACATTATTTGGCTGTTTTGGTTAAAAGCCCCTCCCCTTTTCTTTGCTTACTTCTTGATTCTATGATAAATTATTTAACTTAATAATAAGTAACTTAATGGAATTTTAACCATTCAACAAAAATATTGATTTTATTTTCACATAATTTAAATTTTCTTCAAAGAATTCTTGTTGTGGGATCATAATAAGATTTCATGAGAAAAGGACTTTCTATAAGAATGTCATATATTACCTTTCGCAGTGGTCCATACTGTTTTCTGTACTTCTTGTTCCAAGATATTCCTATCTTTTTCAAAAGTTTCTGGCCCAGATGATCAACAAGAATCAGATTACTCTCCTCCTTATGAAAGAAACACAAAGTCATTTAAGAATATCTGTTCCAATTACCTAACAATGGTAAGAAGTGACCATTACAGGATGCAATGTGACCTGCACCTACACCAAAATTCCATGTTGAATTCCTAACCTTCAAAATTTCAACTGTCGCTATTTTTGGATAGGGCCTTTAAAGAAGTTAAAACAAGGCCATTAGGGTGGGTCCTAATGCAAACTGATTGGTGTCCCTACGTGGAAATCTAGGCGCACACAGAGACACCAGGGATGCACATGTACAGGAAAGGCCTATGGGTGCTGGAGGCTAAGTCCAGTGGATCATAATAAATGCGAGAAGTCCTCAAAAGGTTGAATGGACTCTTTCAGCAAAGCTGAAAATCTGCATGTTATTACCTGCTGCTGGAACAGCTGAAGGCAATTCCCCCAATTTGATGGTACTTTATTGTTTACCAAACCTTACCTTTGATATGTATATCTGCTTTGCTATAGGGCAAAATGTGTGAATAAAAAGCCCTGGGTGCGGAGATTCGGGGAATTTAGTTACTAAAGCTAAGCCTCCCCTGGCTCCCCCAAAAGGCCCCCCCAAACTTATATTTCATGTCTAGTCTCTTTATTAATTTATGTCGCAGCCCCTTCTCCAGATTCCTGAACCCTAGCAGATTCAGGTTAAGAACCCAGCATATGGGACACAGAGAGGAGGCAGAATCTACAACAGACAAGGAGAGAAGCTGCAAGAGAAACCAAACTTTGATTGATCTTGGACTCCCAGCTTCCAGAACTATGAGAAAATAAATTTCTATTGATTTAAGCCACCCAGTCTGTGATATTTTGTTATGACAACCCTAGTAGACTAATATGGTGACCATCAAGGACTGAGCCTAAGTCCCCAATAAACAATTATAAAAAACTGTTTACAAATGAATGAATAAATGAAAGGAGACCTAACATTTATTACAACAGGGTACTAAGCAAACATTAAAAGTCATCTGTATGAGGTATTACCAATATTAGGAATGAAAAAGGAGACATAACTTCAGATCCTACAAATACTAAAGGACAATATAGGAAACAGTAAATTCTAAAACAGTATGTAAAGTGAATCCCAATTCTATTTAAAATGACAATAGTAATACCAAAGAAACCCATAACCCAATCCCAATATAAGTGTGTAAACACAAAGAAAACAGAATGTAAAGAATATAGTCAAAGTGTTAACAATGACTGAGCATTTGGTTTATTTACATTTTTTTATTTTTTTATATATTTTCTAGGTTTTTTTTCTGTCTCAAGTTTTCTACTATGAATACGTATTTCTTTTAAAAGCAGAAAGTTTCCAATAAAAATAAAAGTTCAAAAAGAGATACAATGTCCAAAGGAAAAAAATAGTATCAGATCCACCAAATCAACCTCATTTACATATATCTGATATAGATACACACAAATATAAGCACACTCTCTACCTGTGATAAGATTGCTTTTAGAATCATCAGTGGATCATCAATCTCTTCTTCATTCTGAAGATCTTTCAAATTCACATCTGGTTTACTTTTTTCCTCCTAGAAAAGAAAACAATAAAAAAGTTTCTATCATGGGGGAAACACTTTGTAAAGTACATGATTGTCTAACCACTATGATGTAGATCTGGAACTAATACAAAGTAATATGAATATAAACTGAAAAAAAAATTTTTTTTAAATATAAAACCCCCTTTTTTAAAATCTCCAATTCCTTAAAAGGTAACTAACAAAATAGGAATGTTTATGTTATGAAGACTTCAAGATGGAGAAATGACAATAAAAACAATATAATTTGTATATGGTTTTGAATTCCAGCTTTGCTTGAATAATCCTGGACAAGTTATTTTCCTCTCTCTGACCTCATCTATAAATTAGGATTGTGAGATAAGTAAAGCTTTTAGCACAATACAGTGTTACAACATTTTCTCAGCACTAACAGAAGCCACATTACTACATGTGGAGCAACTATTCATTAATAACATAATTAACTGTTTGATAATCAAGAAGATATGTTTTTAAGTATTCTACATCCTAACATAATGATTTGTATCTTACATTTTGACATTTTATTGTGTTTTAGTTACATTTAAAAAACTGGTGGAGAGATTGGGGTTGATGGGTAATGCATCATAATTTTGCCCGTTGGAAATAATTGGAACTAGAATCTCAGTTCAGGCTTTTCCTCAGAACATCTGGAAGTTCTTTTCTTGAGACTATTCAAAACTTTTTCATAAAATGTTAAAGAAGCACTAAAAAATGAAAAGATATATCATTTTCATATGTAGATTAAAAACCCCACTAAGCACGTAAGAGAATAGCTGATTCTAGAAATGCTCACAGAAGCATAAAGAGGAGGGAGAGGCACAACCCTCCTGAAGAATAACAACACAGAGGGAGACCTCGCCCTACCACATGGCATGACTTCTTTTAAAGCTACAGAAATTAACAATGTGGTGTTTGCCTAGGAATGGAAAAGAAGTATGGAGCAGAAAAGAATGCCCCAAAATGGATTCACACATACATAAACAATTGATATAACAGGATTGGCATTCTAGATTGGTGGGTAAAAAATTCATTATTGAATAAATGGTAATGGGCAGTTGGGTACCCAAATGGAAAAAAAAAAACAATCTCACAACATTCACAGGAGATCATTCCAGGAAGAAGGAAATTTTAAATGTAAATGAAAAATAAACTTTTAACTGGGATAAGAACATACAATACAATATACAGACGATGTATCATAGAACTGTACACATGAAACCTATATAATTTTATCAACCAATGTCAGCCCAATAAATATAAAAAAAAGTAAAATAAAGATTTTTAAAAATAAATAAAAAAATAAAAATCCAAAAACCCCAAACCTAAAAAACCCCACAAACTTTTAGAAGACAACATAGGAGGAAAATCTTCATCATCTTTGGTTCGTGCCATGAAAGACAGAAGAAAAGCTAAGGAATTACTGATTAAAGGACTTAAGCAATATGCTAACTAAATGTAGTTCGTGATCCTGGACTTGATACTAGAGTGGGAAAGAAAATGCTATAAAGGATTTGGATCAGACAAATGGTGAAATCTAAATATAAATTAAATGTTAGCTAAAAAGATGGTATCAGTGCTGAAGTTCCTGATTTTGATCTCTGCTTATGTAAGGGAATGTCTTCATTTTTACGAGATAAGCACTGACGTATTTAGGGATAAACTTAACTTCAAATGGCTCAGCACTACTAATCATAATGTTAACTCTGTGTGTATGTGCGCGCACACGTGTGCATGTGTGTACAAAGAGTGTGTGCTTGCACAAATGTGGCAAAATGTTAATTGGAGAATCTAGGTGAAGAGTATACAGGACGTGTTTGTACTCTGCTGGTTATGTTTCTGTAAGTATGAAATTGTTTAGAAATAAAAATTTTAAACTATCTATACTCACTTTCAGTGCCTATAAAAGTATTCCACAGAGTGAATACATAATAAATGTCAAAAGATTATCTTCACCAAATAGGACTAAAAAAGGAAAAATATTTCAAAGATACTTCTAAACTAATGTCCATGCTCACCTGAAGTTGCCAGTTTCCCAAATGATCGACATCTTTAATATACACATGATAGTGCCCTCCATAGCAACCACCTTTGTGTATAATAACTGAGAAGAGGTCATACATGTATTCCAAGTCATCCAGTTGACTCTACAAAAGAACATATAAACATGGATATAGTTTACACAAAGTGGGAAGATACATAACCAAAGGGCAAAAGAATTTTAACTACTGAAATAAAAATTTCACTGTTTATTATTGTTCTTTAAGGGTAAATTAAGATAAATTTGAACTGACTTTAAATTTTAAAATTCTTAATTCTTAGAAGATTATCTATCATTGATCCAATACCAAACACACTACACCAATCACATTCTGTGTCTTGCTTAAACATGAAAACACATACCCAAACAAGATGCTATTTTTATGTACTTTGGCTAAGATCATGTAAACCAATGTGATAACAAAACACACTTGCCTATCAGTGCGTCTGTGATCTTGGCAAGCCCATCTTTGTTATGATACCTATTTTGCCACTTTATAAATGTGGTCTTTAGCTGGTAAATTTTTCCTGTGTTCCAACTAGATTTGTCACATGCCTCAAAGTCAAAGCCGTATCTGTCACCGCTCCTGACATGTTGGTCCTCTGCATATAAGAGGAATTTAGCAATTATGAATACTAGCTGGGTTTGTGAGGCAGCTTAGTGGAATGAAAAAGTTTTTTGTTAATTTATTAATTCTATGATCAAACTTTTCTGTAATTAATATGACTGACCCAAAAGATGAATACCTACACTGGCATTTAAAAGAAAAATCTACTTTAGGTTAAGAGATACTTTGCATATGGGTGCTATTTGAAGGGATCCCAATTATTTGAGAAAATATATTTGCTTAAAAAATTATACTATTAAAGTAAGCAGCATTCTTTTTTTAAATGTCTGGTTCAGGCGAAAGACAAGAGAGATATAAACAAAGATGAGAAGTGGTAATTTTTTTTTCATTAATACAGATATCAAAAAGAAATATTGCAAATTCCTTGGATAAGTGCTCAATGTTCTCCTTATTTCAGTTTTGTTATTTCAAAGTATGTTAAAAATCATTTGACAAACTGCTGTTTATAAAAGGACAAAACTTTTCCTATATGAGATGATGGATGTTAACTAAGCCTGTTGTGGCAATTATTTCACCTACATGTAAATCAAGCTATCATGCTGTACACCTTAAACTTATAAACTGATGCATGCCAATTATTTCTCAATAAAACTGGAAAAAATAATTAACTCAATTATCCTGAAAAACAGTTTTTATGTGTGTGTGTGTGTGTGTGTGTGTGTGTGTGTGTGTGTGTGTTTCAGGCAGTAAATGGAGGGAAAAGTCCACCAACACTGGAAAAACTGTTTATTCTGTGTGTCCAATAACAAACTCAGGGCCAACACAAATTACAACCTTTGAATGTTAATTCATATAATAAAACAACCAAAAAGCTCAGTAAGTACGCTTGAAGTAGAGGAAGGCCCATCTAAATTTAAGAATATTTTTAAAAATTACTTTCATGCATAGAAATTCAATAGCAAGCTAATAAATGTTCTGGTCTTAATAAACATATAAAGAATGATTTGTAACAAGAAATACATCAGTCTTGTCATTGTGATCTTGACATGTATAACAATTACATAGAAAATATTTTTAAATGGCTTATAAAGTAGGTTGATTATGCAATTAATTTGTTTTCAAACTTTCTCTTGCCCAAGTCTTAAGTACTACAAATCCCAGGCTAGTGAAGTTCCAGTTACCTGTTCACTTTCTAGATGTGTGATTCATTACTGCATTTAAAGTAAACTAAATCCAAATAGCAAAGTGCCAATTAAAGGTAACTTCTTTTAATGTAAGGTGACTTCTAATTTTGCTCTTAAATTTCATATCAAAGCTTTTTCAAGAGAGTTTAATAAAAAGAACTGAGAACAAATCCATACTTTGGAAATTCAAAAGGACTGTAATAAACCAGGAGTTCGCAGCTGGGAGTGATTTTACCAATTCCCCTTCCTGCAGGAGACATGGACATTTGACAAGGTCTGAATACATTTTTGTCACTAGTGGAGAGGAGGGGGAGGTTGCTGCTATCATCAGGTAGCAACCAGGAATGTTGCCTCACATCCTACAATGCATGGGACAGCATAGTGCCATGGCTGAGATTCTGCAATAAGCCAACTGAAAACCAGGTCAGTTAAGAATTCAATATTGAGAGGGAGAAAAAAAAGAATTTAAAAATAAGAGTTCAAACCTGTTCACAAAAAGGCTTGAGATTGATCCGAAGAGGGAATGTGTAACAGCTAGTTTCCTTGTATCGTTCACACTTCACAAAATCAAAATTAAATCTTAATAATGAAACAGTAAGAAAGGGAGGCAGCTTACGTAATTTGGCCGACTGTTAAAAGAAAAATTTTTTTAATTTTTAAAAAGCAGTTGCATAAAAGAATACATGTTTCTTAACATATAAAAAAGCAAATTATGACATAATTTTAAGAGGAATATGTCCTTAAATCACAAACTCATCATGATGAACTGAATATATAGCCCTTGCTATAAACTCATATATTTTACAGGACTAAAAGTGGTATCACTCATTTATGCTTACAACTAAAATTTACAATCCAATTTTATGTTTTTAGTGTTCATACCCTAAAATCAAAGCTATCTGATGAGCATGTTATAACTGGATATTCCCCTCCCTAACAATGTTTCTTTCCTGCCCAAGTCCTAGCCTTTCATCTTCTTCCTTTTATTTACGAAGAACTGGAGCTCTTAATCTGGGATCTCCAGACCTCTTTCAATGGATCTGGGCCCTTGAAATATCAAAATTGTACATGTTCATGTATTTTTCTGAGGAGAAGATCCATAGCTTTCATTAGACTTTCAAAAGTGCTCTAACTCCCCAAACATTAAGATCTACTGATTGGGGTTTTATAGTTATTGTTCTTACAAGCAGGTAAGAAGTTTTTAAAAAATTTCTTGCTTTAAAACAAACCACATAATTAAGCTTTTTTTTTTTTTTAAAGTCATCAGCTTTTAGCCCTGGCCAGGTAGCTCATTTGGTTAGAGTGTCATCCTGACATGCCATGGTTATGGGTTTGGTCTCTGATCAGGGCACGTACAAGAGGCAACCAATGAATGCATAAATATGTAGAACAACAAACTAATGTTTCTCTCTCTCTCCCTAAAATCAATTTTTTTAAAAAGTCATCAGCTTTTCCCAACCCTCTTACACTAATAGCACGTGAGGGGGGCAAAACATCCTTCCCCACATATAAAATTATCCAAAATCATAAATATTAAACATTCCTAAAAATGTATGTAAAACAATCCTAAAAATCAAGTGGATAATAAAAAAAAGTTAAATGATAAAACAGCAATTTAACCACATGGTAGATTTTCAAACAAGCTCAAAAAATAAGTCTAAAAAACTAAACTACAATGTGGCTGAGAAAAGAAAGACTGCTCAAAACAAGAAAATATGCATTAATTTAGGTAGTACAACTAAACCTAAATTTAGAATGCAATAAATCTAATGCAACTACAACCGAATGTAATTTTAAAAGTATCAAGATAAGCTCAGCTGATGTGGCTCAGGGGTTGAATGTCAATCCATGAACCAGAAAGTCATGGTTCAATTCCGGGTCAGGGCACATGCTTGGGTGGCGGGCTCCATCCCCAGTAGGGGGCGTGCAGGAGGCAGCTGATCAATGATTCTCACACTGGTGTTCTGTTTTGTTTTTTACTTTTTTAAAAAATTTTATTGTTCAACAACATTACAAACTGTTGAAAAAAAATTAGAGGCAAAGAAGCATCAAACAGACTGTCACACTGATGTTTCTATCCCTCTCCCCCTCTCCCTTCCTCTCTGAAATCAATAAAAACATATTTTAAAAAAGTATCAAGATCAAAATATTTCCACTGAAAAAGAATTAAACCAATGATATACAAGATGCATAAAAGAACTGCTTTTGTTTAACAAAAGGTTTTTGTTTTACTAATGTGCCAATTAAGCCCAAGTAAAACTAAAAATGTATTTAAGTATCTTTCAAAACTTTTTATCCTCTGAATTTTATATTTACTTTATTAGATTGTAGTCATAATGCCAAAGATGAGATACAAACTAAATAAGAAAACAATAAACCTCTCTATTTAGGTTTCCTAAAGGGGTAAAGGCTGGATAGAAGTATGGACTAAACAGTATAATATTTACCCTGGTTCAAATCCTATTGTGAAAGCTACAGGCGTTGAGTTTATTGTTTTTATTACATTTTCACCTACAATGACCAGGATCCAAATCAGTATCATGTGTTATCTAAATCATTCCTCATTTTCTTTGTTAGAAAAGTCAGTCATTATCAGCTGTAGGAATAGTGTTATCTTGTTGTCGTAACAGAGTAACTGCAAAGATATGTCTTTTGTGGTTGTTCTTTCAGTGAGTACTCAATAACCACCGAGTGACTCGAGCTCCAGTTCATCATGCTAGGAAGCGCCTATGATACCATCCACCAGCAGTGGAATAGTGACCACTGTGGAGAACAATGGCAGCAGCAGAGTTGATGCCACATTGCAGAAAAAACCGTTGCTTACATCCTGCCCTCCTTTCATCCTGTGTTTTGCTTTGCTATACAAAAAGAAACCTAGAAGTACTATCAAGCCCTTTTATTAGGGCATATTAGATCTGCTGGAGTTGGGAAGGGGATATGTACATATATCGAAACTGTAAAATAAGTGCATGTGAAGAAAGTCATCTATTTTCATAGTAGTAGACAAAGAAAGGAAAGCTCAACAAGCATCTTGGCTGGCAGAAATAAAAACATATTGCCTTCTTTGTAATGGTAATTTGCAAAAAGCAGTGATGGTGAGTTTATAAACAAAAGGTGTTTTTAAGAAACACTGAGGTACAAATAAATTTTTTCCTGAGAAAGAAAGAAGTTGAGAAAATTATTGAGTTGAAAGCTTAAAAAAGCCTTTACTGTAAAAATTAAAATACAGATAACATGTAAATGTGTTTTCGATCCTTAGTATTAATTAACAGCTTCATGTATATCTTCCACAGCTTCAAACAAGCTGACTTCACTTGATAGACCTTCTTGCTAAAGTACTAAGTGGGCAACCTAAGAAAAGGCAGAGTATCTGTCTTTACCTTTGCTGCTTTCACCAGCCGGTCACAAGATCCACAGTGGTATAAGTTGTCACAATCAAACACTTCCTCTTCTACATACATGTTCCAGAGTGCATCTTCCAGACCTGTTACGTTTTTGACTGCTACTGTTAGATCTAAGAAGTCTTCCTAAAATACACATAAACATAAAATTGAAAAAACACTTTCACAGTTCACATATATATCATACACATAATGAAAATAATCAGATATATTTTTTCTAAAATACTGTACATATGAAGGTATAGATCTCCTCCTGATCCGATACGGTGAAATTCATAACCAAATTATCTTTTCTAAAACAAACTATAACTGAGCTTAAAATATATCAGGAACGAGTTCATTGTAGATACAATAAAACCTATTTTATCAGGAGTTAAGACCAATGACACATATACATCTGAATTGAGAAGTGTGTACATGCAGGGCTTATTAGTGTTGAGTCCCTAGACTAGAACAGCAAGGGGAGGGCTGAATACTCAAATGGAATTCTGCTTACTCATCTGCTTCTGCCAGGGCTGGTTTAACACATACTGAAGAAGTTATAAGAAAAACATAATTTTGAGCCAAGATACAAAGGTATTCTTAATGAAAATTAAGAGGATATTTTTCAAAATGGGAGTCTATAAATTATACTGTAACTACATTTGAATTACAACATGTTTTTAGTAATAAAAACTTAGAAAATCTGACAAGTTTATAGAGTATTTAGTTTTAATAGCATTAAAGGCATTATTGGGACTATAAAATAACAGTACTAAGTTCATGATAGAAATCTAAAGTAATACAAGTAACATTTAGATATGGTCTGTAATATATGAATGTGAAAAGTTAATTTCTGTAATTTATCATGTGCCTTAATATACAAAATGGTTTGAAATTTGTTTGTGATGTATTATTATAGATGTCATCATATAGTAATTCAAAGACACACAACACCTGACTATTTCCAAATTAGGCTGGCCAAACCTATTAGCACAGACAAAAAGAATCAAAAAGTATCTTTTATCCCCAATACTCATAAAAAAATAGAAAGAGAAGAAAATATCTGTGCCAAAAAAGCAATTAATGCAACATTTAGAAAATGGCATTTAATTTTTTACTCATAATATCAAATACAGAAACTTTCTATAACTCTTGCCATAACAAAAGATTTTTATTAAAGGACAGCTGTTCAGATTAAATCATTTGCTGTCAAAGATAGGTAGAGTAAGTGGAGATTATTATATTTACATGAACAAATTTCCAATTATATTGAATGGACAATCTGTGTCATGACAAAGTATTGTAGGTTATACTGGATTAAACATTATTATAATGGCTTTATATATGTTTATATATAATAAACATATTTTTAAACATATAACATGTAAATATAAGCATACAAGTACAAATGAACTTTCTTAAAGACATTAATAAACTAAATTCAATATTTAATTACAGATATTTGTCAATACCCTATTTTTATTACTTCCCTAATTAACTTGATAATATTCCACCACCAACCATAATGAAGTCACTTTCCTTATTTGGCCACAGATCTCTACTTGCAAACATCTCCCAACTCTATTTTCTAACTATCAGAGTAATGAATAAAACATTAAAACTATGTTTTAAGATATTTGCTTCTTTCTGTTTACATGGAGAAATCTGGATTATAAACTTATGACTTAGGTGTAGTGAGAGTAAAAGAAAAAAATCAATAAAGTGATTTCCAGAAATAAACAGTTTAATCCTCACATGGTACATCACAAATTTAAATGTATGAATTATTCTTAACAATATTACTTATTACTAAAACACTTGCATATTCACCTGCTTTTCACTGACATTCTTACATTCTTTACAAACAATCTGGTTAACAATGGTCCCATGATATAGACGATTGATGAGATCATGGCCGGAGGTCCCAACTAAAGAAGTTTCCAAAGCACTAAAGAGAATTCGATTCAGTTCCTGCACATCATGTTGCCTCATTTCCTATAAAACAGGTAACTTTTAAATATGATTTTGTGCTTCACATTTTTAAAAACAGATTTTTAAAGTGATGTTAAAAAAAAATCCACATGATTTATCAAATCCAAAGGTAAACCTCGATCAAACATAAGGATGACTAATCTAAATGGGCTGAGAACAGGTTAAGAGACCACTACCTATTTTCAGTTTTATTACAAAACAAAAATATGAACAGGCAGAGCAGCACATCTATTTCATAAAAAAAATCATACTTGGTTTTATTTTATACAACTAACAGCTTATTTACTTGTTGCTGTCAAATGTTCTGTGTTTGTACACAGTGCCATACCCTTAGGGACACAAAGAGAACAAGGAAAGAAAGTCTTACAATAGGACACAGGAAGACAATGAAGAGAGACAGGAGAAAGGCTGGGAAAGGAAAGTGAAAAGACCTGCCAAGGATGACTTTATAGTTTTGCTTGAAGCATATGTTCAAATCAGAACACTCGGATTCAAAACCAAGAGCACGTCACAGAGGCAGACAGAATTATTGCTAGGCGGCTTTTTAAGCTGATCAAGCAGTTTGCTATATAAATGGTAAGCTCTTTGTAATAGGTGTTCTACCTCAACTAGTCCATATAAAGATTCTCAGGGTATAAATTGTAAAAATAAGCTCCTATACTTCTCTCTGTATCCACAACCTTCTCCCCACCCCCAAATCACAACTGTTCATAAAAGCCTGCAAACAACAAGTGTCCAAAAATATATTTCTGGCTTGTAATTATTTAACAAAAGAGAGTAAATATTTAAACAGTATATTGAGACCCTAAAACAAAATTAAAGAAGTTAGATAACATTAAACCAGTGTTTACTCTTCATTGCCGGCAATGTTTCTTAGAGAAGCTGACCTCCGTACCTCATTGCTTGTCCACCCAAAGCTGTCAGTGAGGTCTGCTGTGGAGGCAGCTTCCTGGTCTAAGAGCAGGAGCTGAGCAAACAACCGCTGTAACTGTAAAGGTATGATTCGAACCTGAATGAGAACAAATGCATTTCTAAATAAGTCTTTTCAATGTGGTTTGGGGCTTTTTAAAAGAACTGCATACTAATTTTCTTATATCTCCTAATTCACTCAGTTCACCCAGAAGAAAGTTTACAAATCTTATTACAAAGGGTGATCATTTTTCTTCAAAAATTCAATCCAGCCCTAACCAGTTTGGCTCAGTGGATAGAGCATCGGCCTGCGGACTGAAGGGTCCCAGGTTCGATTCTGGCCAAGGGCATGTACATACCTTGGTTGCGGGCACATCCCCACTAGGAGGTGTGCAGGAGGCAGCTGATCAATGTTTCTCTCTCATCGATGTTTCTAACTGTCTATCCCTCTCCCTCTCTGTAAAAAAAAATCAATTAAAAAAAAATTCAATCCAAAGTGTTTTAGCTATCTGGAGTTTTCTACCTAGACATAGTTCAGGTCAATACTAAAACCCAAAGTGGCCTTAAAAAACTACCTCATTGATTACAGACGGATAGTAATTTAAGTCTCTAATAGTTCATTCTTTCTCTAAAATGCCTCAGACACAGACATACTCTCATGAGGAATGTTCCAGTCATAGACGGGCTGCACCTGCCTCACTTTCTTCTTGTAGGTTCCAAGCCTGTTCCTGTCTTATTTGGGCTGGAGAGGGCTGGGCTGACAGAGAATGCTGGTCAGAGCCTAGTTTGCAGACCAAATTTAAGCATCTAAAGTGAGAATCAGCCTTTAGAAACTTTTATGGCAATTTGACATTGTCATGACATCTTTATTATATCCCACAGAAATATAATCTGCAACAGATTGGGAATTTTTAAAAATACACAAAAACTGGCCCTTTGCTGCACAGGTGGCCTGAGAAGCACTGGGCTGGATCATGAAAGACTCCTTGTAAGAAGTACTGATTTTAGCCTGAGAGCGACAAACTTCTGAATGATGTTTAAGCAGGGGAGGAACATCATTAGATCTGCACTTATGATAAACCAATTCCTCATTCAATTTATTTCCAGAATACCAAAGTGAATGAATACTGGTTATTTGTTGTTATTACAAATAAGTGCATTAAATAGAGTTTCTGTTAGGCTAGTGTGGACCATTTGCAAATATTTCCTTCACCAGAAGAAAGAATAAACACAGTAGCAGCAGCAGCAGCAGAGACATTACATTTGAAAAATTAATTGTTCCATTGACAGTAGGGTATAAGCTAAGTCACTTTCTGAAAATAATAATTATATTTGGTAATTAATTAATAAAATTATTGATTTCTATAAGAAATTTAATTCCTTCCTTAAAAAACACTCCCTCAATACTCCAAAACAACAACAACCCCTGTAAATCATAGATTTAATACCTTTGCATCAGGATTATCCTTTTCCTCTAAAGAACCAAGCTCTTCTGGGCCAAGAGAAAATAAAGCTTCTAGACAAAAAAAGTAGAATCAGAGATGTAAATGACATTATTTCATTTTAGAAAACCAAGGCCACCAATAAATAAAATCAGTTAACAATTCAGCAATATGATTGCAGCAATGTTTATACCTTTACACATTTTACTTTCTAGTAATACTATTTTTAACCATTGACTATAAAGGGCATGCTAAGGTTTCAGCATGAAAGATCTAGAAAAGGAAAATTATTCATATAAAACTAAGAGCAGAAACATCAGAAATCTGTGATGGCCGTAGGCAGTAGGTCCCTAGAGCTACCTAAGGAGTATCAGGAAATACAACAAATAATAGTTTTGTATATGATCAACAGCAAGCCATCCTTTCCTGAGAAGGACCACCTTTAACTCTGAGATTATGCCCTTCCTTTTTGGGGTATGTAAATATTTTTCCTGGGTTGAGGGTGATAACAGATGTTAGTGGTCTTACCTAGAAAAATAAGTTGGTAACCCAACGCCAGTCCCCGGAATTTTTTAAATACAGCATCTCGCTATGCCACCCAATGAGGGAATATATGAATCTTTTGGGAAGTCTGTATTCAAACCTAGATAGGAACTCCTACTGGGAACTTTGATGTACTCCAGGGAGAGAAGGGATGGGATGGGTGTTGTCCCTTACTGGCAACCACTCCTGCCTAGTGATTACTATTATGAATGTTATACTCCTCCGTAATTCCTGGGGGGAACTGGGAAAAAATGAACTACAAGGACTTCCACAATCATCTCCCACTACTCTCAGCTACACTAAACTGGGAGTACAGTGAAACCCAATCTAGCCCAACTCCATAAAATATGATTCCAAGAAGCTCCAACACTTTTCTCCCCCAGTTCTTACTCTTTCCCAATTATACTCCCCCTTCAATAAGCACTGGGATTCATGCCAGGCCTTACAAGGAGTTCACAATCCCCACTAAGATATCAACCCATGTGCTTGGCTGGTGATCTCCTTTGCTAGAGAAGATGTCCTGGGACTCTCAGCCCTATTCTTGCTTAGGGGTACTCATCATGACCTGCTCCACCCCAAACACCCGCCTCAGTCTCTTTTTAAGGCTACTTTTCTACTTTAAGTTGCCCTTTAACTTCAACAATATTAAAACTTGGAAAAGTTCTAGCTCCGCCCCCCCCCCCCCCCAGGGACCTACTTATTCAGACAGAAAATTTCTTTCTTTCTTTTTTTTTTTATTGCTTAAAGTATTACAAAGGGTATTACATATGTGTCCTTTTTTTTCCCCGCCCTTGACAATCCCCTGTTTTCTTATGGTGGAATTACTGAATGCAACAGGGAGAGATTTTTATGGCGGGGATGGAGTCAAGAACAGAGGCCCCACTCTTAAATCCCACATGCAGTCCAATCCACTAGAATGGTCCTCGGAAGGGGACATGGTAAATATTTACTAAATCTCTGGAGGGAAGAAGTCTTTCTTAAGCTCAGAAGCAACAGAGAATGTTACAAAGATTTGATAAATGTGCAGCGGTGGTAAGGGGAATGTGGCAGTCGACACAGGATGAACCAGGTTGTCTGTCCTCAGAAAACAGAGACACTGTGAAGAGCTAAGCTACAAAACCACATAGAGCTGGGGGCCCCAGTCAGGGTCATGTGAAGGCAAAATAACGTTCACACTGAAATCAAGACAGCACAGAGATGAAGACTCCTGTGGAGGAAGCTAGTCTGCAGAGATGGGAATGGCATAAACATGTAGAGAGAAACAGGAGCAAGAAATTAGGGCCCAATAAGGTCGGGCTGGCTTCCTGTAGGTCATTTCAGGGATATTTCCTTACATTCTTATAATAAATTCCCTTTGAAATTTAGTTAATTTGAGTGGGTTTCTGTTCCTTGCACACAATCCCTTTGTCTAACATCTTTCTTAGGTTTTTGAAATTCACTATTTCCAGATTTTAGAAAGATAATATGAAGAAAAGGTTAACATGATGTTAACTTTACACCCTCAGCAGGGTCTGGGGCAAACAGTATCTGTTAATCAAGAAGATTAATATTCCTGTAACAAATGAATGAATATTCACCCAAGTGAGGTAACTAGACTATAAAAGGCTTCACATCAGGTCAGGTTCTAACACTCAAACAAATTTAGATCATATCAGGTTGTCAGAGTTTTCTGAATTGCAGAACTGCAGATAAATGATTATGAACTGTTTAAATAATGTGACACCCCTCCCCATTCCAAATGATATCATTGCTTTGGGTAACTCTGGCTTAAGTGTTTATTACTTTGGAGAAATTTTAAAACTCAAAAAATACAAATAGTCTAACAATAATGAAGGCCAGTACTCATGACAAAACTGTCTTTATGCTGTCTTTTAAATGATAAGAATTAGAAAAGTAATATTGCCTTTCTAAATTTTGTTACTAAATATTAGTGGTTACATAGAATATACGTAAGATAACTTAAGCTCCACATTACCATTTTGTGTGTCACAATAACAATAAACACATGCTGTAGAATACACCTTTAAGATACTTTGTCTCTTTGTGATCTTGCACAATTACATGGAGATGAGGGTTACAGGCTACTAAGCAAATGCACGTAATATAGCATACCTCTGAATTCAGGTGTAAAATGAAGAGTCTGAAGAAGGGAATTGAGGTAACAAGTTCCACCCTGATTCCTGATTCCGCTTAAATTGGTAAACTCTCTAGGAGCAGGTGGCTCCAATGGTTTGGCCTTTAATTTTTTTCCTTTTCCATACTGATTATTTGACACACTGGAATAATCCTCTTCAAATAGGTCCCCAAACATTGTGAAACTAAATATTACCTTTAAGAAAGATGACATGTTATAAAATGCTTTTATTTTTACAACAGACTTTCTCCCCGTCGCCCTATCTGATACCTGGGAGTCTCTATTTCTAAGTCTTCCCTGGGCCAGTGACTGAAACTGTGTTCCTTACAGGTAACATGGGATCCCACCTAGCACACGTGGTCATTTAAACAATCAAATGACAGTTAAAGAAAGGCTCTGAGTGCACGAACCGCAGCTGTTCTTAAAAAAGGCATCCTGGCATCTCGAACGAAAACAAAGGAAACCCGTCGCCACAGTCAACCTACTGCCGGGGCGGCGAAGGCCAGCCTGGGTCCTGAGAGCCGACCAGGGCCCGGGTCGGTCAATCCCTCCCTAAAATCTCTGCCTCGCACACTCCTCCTACCGGATTATCACACTGGAATGAATTAAATGGAGCTAATTACCCTTTACAGCAGCTAAGTGCATGGCCCCCAAGCTGGAGAGTCGCGAGGAGGTTCACGACCATGAAAATTACGGAGCAAAAGGCCGCCTCGTCGGTACCCAGCGGTCCTGACGTCGGCCCCAGGGATCCAGGCCACCCGCTCAGGGTCTCCCGTGAGTGCGGCGCGGCGGAGGGCCGCCTGGAAACGAGAAACGCAAAGCTCCCTGCACAGCGCCTAAGTGACAGGAAACGCTGAAATGCACTTATTTTCCTGTTCAACGCTTTCCTCAAAAGAGAAGCACAAGAAGTGGAACTCGGAAGTCCGACCTCGAGCTCGTGGCCGGGACTCCCGTCTCTCCCACTCCCGGCCTAGGCCAGGCCCTCAGGCCCTCCCAGTCACCCCGGGCCCGAGGCGCGAGGAGGCCGAAGTCCTCCTGCCGAGGACCACTGACCCGACGCCAGAACTCCGCGTCCCCGGGCCGGCCCGGAAGTCCCTCGCCTCTCCCTCCTCAGGCCGTGCCACCCACACGGTCCCTACGCCTCCCAGGTCCCTCCCCAGAACCCCGGCCGCCAGCTCCACTTACTGCCTAAAGCCCAGACCCCCGCCCCGGCCCAAACCCGTAGCGAACAGGCGCGCCCCGAATAGGCGCCGCCATGTTGGCGCAGGCGTGTCTCCGGCAGCTTCCAGAGTGAGCAACTTGTGGAACCCGGACTACGCGACCCAGGATGCCCCGCGGGAGCTCCGGCCTTATGGGCAATGTAGTTCTTTTGTCCCGGGCGTTTGGGAGTCGGGGTGGGAGGGGAGCGCTTGCTTTCCCCGTCAGTTCGTCGGTTCCCGGGTCCGCGGGCCCTATAGGTCAGGTGGCCGCTCATTCAATCACACTTAAAATTTATACTTATTGCTGTTGGCAATCCGCATTAGTTGCGGTGGAGTACGCAAAGATCACTTGTCTTCTGCAATGGCTAATTCCCAAATTACCTAAACAAAGGAGACATTTGTGTAAGGCTTCAGCCTGGCTATGCATTTTCAAAGACATTCTCCAGTGTATCTCTAGTAAAAAATGTACCGCATAGCCTTGAACCTTTATAATAACCTCAATGTTTGTTTTGTCTGCACCAACTCTAAGTACACAAGAATACACTAAAAATACCTCAAAAGTATACTCTCTTGCTGACTTGAATACCTTTAGTGGACTGTGTCAGTAGCTTATGTATGTAGGCCTTACTTCTGGCACCTCCCCAATCCAATCCAGCTTCCACCCTGGAATGAATGAGGAAGACAGGGAGAAAATCCTCTGGACTTCAGCTAAAGGCTGGAGAAATAGAGAATAGCTGCAAGGCAGGAGTCCTAGTGAATGCCAGACTAAGAGATTTGTGGATGGAATACTTGAGGGAGACTCCTGTAGCTGGAGTGTTCCAAAGTATTGGTAGGGAAAGGCCTGGAGGCAGTGCACCAGTTAAGAGGTCAAAGGTCTAGGAAACTGCAGTGGGAAAAGTCTGTTCTCAGTTCTCATTAGTCTTCACTTGGCCACACTGCCCCTTGGCTTCAAGACTCCCCTCCCTGGCCCCATGGCAGACTATCCTATTGCTTCCCTTTCTGCACTTTGCTTCTCTTTTACCGGCTGTGCTTCATTCCCCTCTTCCAAATTGTAGATATTCCTCAAACTTCCATTCCCTGATCAAGAATGAGCACCGGAAGGTTAGCTCCACCAGGACACGGGCTGTTAAAACCAGAACGATTGTTGGCATGGAAACTGAGATGTCTCTGAAATGAGTGCATCTGCCCTGGAAATTCCAGAAAGTGATCATGAGATGGACTATGAGGAGCCAGACAGGTCAACAGGTGATGAAAAACCTGCTCTGTAAAAGAAAAAGACCAGAGAAGTGTGGGGAAACATGGGACTTGGTTGGAAAGTCTGTAAGGAGGATTCTCCGACGGTGGCCTCTAGGGGAACCTTGCTGAAGGCGGCAGCCCCTGCCTTGACTTTTCCAAACAAGTCTGAGCCCCCGGGTGTTTTGCTGGAATCTCTATGTTTAGTCTTTAAACCCGACCTTGTAGAAGCATGTGCTTTCTCAAGGATACTTACGCTGCTGATTGTATCTAGAGGTTAATTTTAGTTCAAGCTGTTGTTACAATAAAAGTCTAAGGAGGCAGGCAATCAGGGCTGTTTTGGTGCCTCCTGCCAAGCAGCCCCTTAGCCTCTCTTTCACAGAAATGTGTGTTAGAGTAATCCATTCATCCGTCCCTCAGGGTCTGCTGGTCAGTCCAAGCAGAGAAGGTTGGATCAATCACTCAGGCTGAGGTTCAGCGGTTCCCTGGCAAGGAGCCATAATGAGTTGCTTTTTTATGTTTTCATTCATTCATTTATTTGTTCATCCATTCTTTAATAAATATTTAGTAAACATCTTTATTTATTTAATGAGCATCTACTAAGTGGCAGGTACAGGGCTAGAAGTTTGAGATTTAATATTAATCTGACTGATATAGGCCCCTAAATTCATAGAGCTCACTTTATAGTGAAGGAAACTAAGAAAAAGCTACATGATAGCTGTAGTGATAAGTAACTTGAGGGAAATAACAGAGGAATGTGACAGTAAATGGCAAGGATGGGGGCTGTTTCTGATATTGGCCTTAGAGCAGACTTCTTAAAGGAGAACTTCCCAATGAGGAGGCACAGGAAGAGCTCAGGAAAGACCCCTCCAGCCTGAGAGAACAGCAAATACATAGGTCCTGAGGTGGGAAACTGTCCTGTTCCAGATGTAGAAAGGAGGCCTTGAATAAGTGGAGAAAGCAAATGGCAACTGGTTAAAGAGGTGGACTCACCCACCATTTGGCCAAGGCGAGGATGTTTTCTAATTGCAGTGGGAAGCCATTCGATGGTGTTACGCAAAAGATAGCATAGTGATTGGTGTTTGAACAAACCCCGCTGACTTCTGTCTGCAGGGCAAAAAGGAAAGCAGAAAAACTAATTTATGAGGCAGTTCTTGGAGTTCAAGTAAGAGACGATGGTGGAATGATGCCCAGGCACTAGATAGCGGGGCAGATGTGAGATCTACTTTGGAGGTAGGACGAGACTTGGTCATGTGGTGGCTTTGTAATGTATCAACTGGGCTAAGCTGAATTTTGTTTCCCAGAATTCCATTCCTATTTCTGATTAGGGTTAGTCACAGAGACAGTTTTACCTGAAATTGCAGGAGCAATTTTTATTTTCTTACATGCAGAAGTGTGGGACAGGCACTTCTGTAGCTCATACATGTTGTCACCTCTCTGCAGACTCACCTCATTGGCATGAAGCAGCAATTGGACCTGCACCTGCCCTTCCTTGCCCTGGCTCCTCCTTCAGTTTCTCCCACACCTGGGCTAGGTGTGTGTTTAGCTCGGTGAGGAAGAGCACCAGCTTGTCCTGCAGGACCCCCACATCATCAAGGTTGGAGGTAGTAAGAACACTTCAAGATTCTAGTCCCTTCTTGTAGATCCAAGTTCATTCCTGGGGGTCCAAGCTTATTGATTCCTTCCAGAAGACCCACCCTGGTGTCCTTAAACTCTAGCATCAGAGGCAAAGACTGTTTACAGAGATCCGTTCAACCAGCTCCCACGTGAGTCAAATCCCTATGACAAATCCCTGACTATTGGTAGTGTTGGTGGTTCTGCTTCTCTGATTGAACCCCGACTGACACAGCTTGAATGGAGGGGCTGTGGGAGAGTGATGCCTTGTACATTATTTTACTTAAAACACCAGGTAGATGAAAATAGCATTTACTGAGCCAAACTGGGAGAGGAGGAAAGCTCTGGTAGGGAACTCAAAAGTTGTGTTTTGGATATATTAACTCTTAGAAGCTAGTGAGGTAAAATTGGAATGCTATTAGAATGTAATTTGTATGGCCAGAACAAATAAATTAGGATGGGGGGGGGGGGACGACAGTTTTTGAATTGTTATTATAAGGAAGAGCTTCCCAAAAGTCTGGGATGTCTACAGATAAAATAGCTTACTTCAGAGGTGGGCTAAAGAATGGCCATGTGGCCCTTACCAGTTTGGCTCAGTGGATAGAGCATCGGTCTGTTGACTGAAGGGTCCTGGGTTCGATTCCGGTCAAGGGAACGTGCCCGGGTTGCGGGCTCAATCCATAGTGGGGGGCATGCAGGAGGCAGCCGATCAATGATTCTCTCTCATCGTTGATGTTTCTATCTCTCTCTCCCTCTCCCTTCCTCTCTGAAATCAATTTTAAAAAAAATTTTTTTTTAAAGAAAGAATGGCCATGTTGACAGGAGAGGAGATCCAGGCAATGGATGGGTACAAAAGTGTACTTAATTTTAAATAGCCTTCTAAAAAGGTTTTTCACTAACTTTAGTCATAGGGCCTCCTGCATTAAAGAGAAGCACACCACATCTACAGTGACCCCCAGATGCCTGTGGGCCCCACCCCTGCAAGCAGTAATAATTTGGGGCCAAATCTTTTGAGGTTCATGATTACTCTGACAAAAATTAGGATTTTGACCCAAGTGGTTAGCAAAGGTAAAAAACCATGAACCTGGCCTGGAAAACTTGCAGTTTTATTGGCATTTTTGTTTCCTTATCTATGCTGTTACTTAATCTATTTGTTATGCAATCTGTACCAAATGCTATAAACAAGAACGTTTTAAACTGAAGGTCATGTGTTATTAGTGGACTAGGGGCCCGGTGCACAAAAATTTGTGCACTCAGGGGGGAAGGGGGGGTCCCTCAGCCCGGCCTGTGCCCTCTCGCAGTCTGGGACCCCTCGGGAGATAACGACCTGCTGGCTTAGGCCTGCTCCCGGGTGGCAGAGGGCAGGCCCAATCCCTAAGTGCAGCCCCTGGTCAGGCTCAGAGCAGGCAGGGACCTGAGGCTCTGTGGTGCCAGGCCAGGAGACCTGAGGCTGTGCCCCCACCCAGCGGGGCTTGACGGGGGACCTCAGGCCACACCCCCTGCCCCAGCGCCGGTTCGGGAGACCTGAGGCCATGACCCCCACCTGGCGGGGCTTGACGGGGAACTTCAGGCCGCACCCCCCACTCCAGAGCCAGACTGGGGGACTCTCAGGCCGTGCCCCCATTCCTGGTGCCAGGGCAGGGGACCTTAGGGTGCACTGGGGGACCTGAGGCTGCACCCCCACCCAGCGGGGCTTGATGGGGGACCTGAGGCTGTGGCCCTCACCTGGTGGGACTTGTTGGGGGCCCTGAGGCTGCACCCACCCACCCGGTGGCTTGACAGGGGACCTGAGGTTGTGCTCCCTGCCTGGTGGGAGTTGATGGGGGTGGGGCCGGCCAGGTCTGAATCTCGCTCAATGGGGGTGGTGCTGGCCAGGTATGGGTCTCACGTGATTTTGAGTTGCACGCGTTTGGCGGGGACTTGATTCTGGATCCCATGGTGTGCCCCAGCCTCTGACAGGAGGAAGATTTTCATGTAAATTTTATGAATTTTCTTTCATCTCTGACACTTCTATTATAGAGAAAGGGCAAATAACAATATTAAAATAAATCCTCTAATTAATTCCCTTTTAATGTGCACGAATTTCGTGCACCGGGCCACTAGTATATTTATATTATTGAATTTGATTTGCTAAGATTTTGTTTAGCATATTTGCATATATGCTCACGAAGAGTATTGGACTGTAGTTTTATCTTCTTGCAATCTATCTAGTTTTGGTATGTGGTAATGCTGGTCTCATAGACCCATTCTATTGTCA